GGAGAAGTCAGGTACGGGGAGCTCCCCCAGCGGCCCACGCGTGGGGAAGGAGGTCGGTCCCCTGCCACCCCCCAGCGTGGGGAAGACGATCCCCGGGCGACCCCCGCACGGGCTCCGGCCGCCCTTGGGATGGAGACTCGGGCACCGCTTCCCACGCCTGCGGGCCAGCGCGTTCGCAGGGTGAATTTGGGGAGCGAGCTGGTTTCCCCCACCCAGGACCGAGACGCCGGAGTGGTTAAATGGAGAAGGGCAGGGGGAAGCTGAGGGATGGTGACGTTAAAAACCTCCGTGGCGTTTTAATCCGGAATAGGCTGTGTGGAGGGAAGGCCTTGGTTAGACGGGTCACCGAGAAATGGTTCTTCCCGATGGGTTACGCCGGGTTGCTGTGGGCGGTTGGGGTCAGGATGGCGAGGTGGCGGTTGCACAGATGAGACCGAATGTCGTCTGCTGTGAAAAATGAGGAGGAAAGAATCCAGATATATGCAGCGGGTTACTATTTACAGCTCAAGACAGCTTTTTTTTTCCCCCATCTATTCCTCTCCCTACCCATTTGCTGATTTTATTTATTACAGGTATTGCTATCAAGATGGGCACTGAGGAAAGCAGCGATTTTACAGCTGAGGGGCAGAAGGGATGGGTACTGAGGGATGCAGCGGTTTTATACAAGAGGAGCAGAAGTAGATCCTACGTACAATAAATGGCTTGGAAACAGGCAGGGAGGTGTTTTGGAAGTAGGGAAAACCAGGTGAAAGAGGTGGACTTTTGAGGGGTGATGAATAGCGAAGGATGAAGAGCAATAGAGATGTAAGGAATGGAAGAGGTGTCTTGAAAGTACGGATGCTGGCCTGGAGTAGTCGGAGGGAGCTGGCCCCAAGGACTGGGAGATGGGGCTGATGTAATAGCTGTGGTGCCAGCCAAGCAGGAAAATGTGAGTAGTTGTTCTTAAATAGATGATCAAAAGGCAGCTGATCCAGGTGAGAGAGAAATCCCGGTGATCGGGATACACAGTGAGGGGTTTAAATGTCCAGACAGAAAAAGAGAAGGATTTGGATGAATATACCGAGTGCCATAACCTTAAAAATGCTAACTCCTTTTAAATAATTGATATTAATGCTGGGCATTTAAATCTAATTTGCTTTTGTTGTTCATTGTTTATTTATGTTGTTTATTAGCTTTGCTGCTCCAACAGTAAAAAGCATTAGGCGATTTCACTTTTGTTTCCAATCACTTTCACTCCTTGGCTGTCAGGTACTTTCATGATGTCATGATGTTTGGGTTGCAAATGCTGCAGGGAAGTGTTTAACTCCAAACAAACTGTATTAACCGACTTCTTCAACTGCCATGGAAACACTTCTGATACCAACAGGCTTTGCAGCATTTTTCTGTAGGGTTTTTTTTTTCCTCCTCTAAATTCTGTGAATACTTTTGGAAAGGGTTTCAGCTGTAACACTTTTTTATTTTATATTTTGAAAGAAACAGCCTTTTTGGACAAGGCTTAATTTCTTCAAGCTTAATAGATTAGTTACTAGAATGCTAGTTGTCGTGAACAGCATTTGTAATGATTGTGAAACAAAACATGAGAAGGAAATTAGATTACAAAGGAAACATTATCATCTGATTTTACTGTGAGCTCTTTGCATCAGTAGGATTGAAGTTCATGGGAACTTTTTCCAACTTTGCAAACAGTAGCCAACAGCTACGTTATTCTACCTGCGATTTTTACTTGCAGTGGGACAGTCAACATGGTTTTTTGGTACAAAATTATTGATTGAAATTCTGGAAATCTGTTTGAATTATCAGTGTTAAGAAGTTAGTTGATGCAAAATTACTATCCTGTGTAATGAAAGTAAAGGTACATGAATTAAAATTGCTCTTGGCCACTGAATATTGTTATTTTCAGAGAGTGAGGCTTAGAAGATGTTCGTTCATTCTTTTGTGTGCTCGGTTGCATGCATATAATCTGCATGCATCTGTGTACTCAGAAGCATAGCGTTCTTGTCTTCTGTGGTCTGACAGCTGAAATCAAAGTGTTCGTAGTCACGTCACTATAGATAGAATTATAATAACTTCTTAGCTTAGCTACCTTTGTCCTGAAAAGATTCTTTGAGCAACCTTGTAAAATACAGTTAGTGAAACTGTTACTAGAATTTATGACGTGATCTTTCTCAAGTGTTATTTTAATTGAATTTCTCCATTTGTCTCTTTTTCAGGAGACCTTATGGAAGGAGAGCTTTATTCTGCTCTCAAGGAGGAAGAGGCCTCTGAATCGGTTTCCAGTACAAACTTTAGTGGTGAAATGCACTTCTATGAACTTGTAGAAGACACAAAAGATGGGATTTGGCTAGTACAGGTAAAAATAGTTCATCATTTATTTTTATATATTTATCACATCCAAAATGTGTTTCAAAGGAGGAGTTTATGAGGGTAGTTAACTAGTCATAAAAGTATATAACAGAGAGATGGTGACTAAACTACATCAGGGAGATCATAAGGAATACATCTGTTCAAAAAAAAACAAGAAAGGCTAGAAGTGACAAGAGTTCCTATACAGACAGGAAGAAAAAAACCCTATTAGTCTGTGGATTGCTTTTTGAAAACCAGGTACTTCAGAACCAGGAAACAAGCAAAGCGCCACACACTGAAGTACATGGACTATGCAAGTACTTGGCCCTGGTACTGTGAGGGCTTGTGTAACGCGTGAAGTAGGTGCATTAAGTATAGATGCTCCCAGCTGGCACAGGAGAGGCGCCTCTGGTATTGTGCTTCCTTTTGGTTGTACTACATGCTCAGACCCAACCAGTTTAAGTTTCTGTTTACCTAAGGGGCTTAGAGCACTTTTAAAACCTCTGTTGCCTCTTCACAAAGGCAAGATCTCAGTGTGCTATTTCCTAGGCTAGCAGGCTGCTTCTACAGCATATTCCAGTAGCTTAAAGTTAACCTTCCCCCAAACCTTGTGCGCCCACCGATTTTAGAGCGTGCTTCCCCAGGACTGTATGAGAATAAGAGAACATTTAGGAAAAGAAAGACAGATTTTTGCAAAGAGGATTCTGAAACAATTTATCAACGCTCTTGAGAACATAAGTAATTAGACCAAAATGTAAAAATGCTTTTCTGCATCAACTTCTCTATTGATTAGAGATTTTTTTGTTTGTTTGTTTTTAAGGCATAAGTTTCCTGCTAACAGCCACATCAGGCAATCAAAATTCTCCACCACAAAATTAATTGTTCAGTTGACAGCTCTCCTGCCTGGTTTTTCTGGTCTCCTCACTTCATGTTTTCTGTTTAAATAGATTGTCAAGATTTAATGACTTCCTGCTATTAGACCTGCACTGTCACCACATCAGATCTCAGCCTAAAATAGACAATGAGAGGACAGATTACCTTCACAGCCAAAATGGCATTTGTGTTTTGGGAATGATGTTTTTTGGAGTTTATTGAATCTAAGTTTCAGGTTTAAATCATACAGAAGGGCATTCTTCAACCAGAGAGTGAGTGTTGAAAGGAAGTTTACACATCTCCAAGCTAGTTGACAAATACGAGCATGAATATGCTATGAAAAACCTTCCCTCCTCCCCATGCAGCTCAAAAGAGTAAAATATAGTAGTTCTCTGTTGTCTGTTGCTTGCAGAATTTTAATCGTAATATATTTTCAGCTAGCTTCATAATAGCAGATCAGATAGGCTGCGTTTTGATATCTCTAGTGTGATGAATGTTGTCATCATTCTGGGAATATTTGCACAGCTATTCAGTTGGTCACAATAGCTGTGGAAAAAAAAATAGTGGAATTTACTGAATAATTTACTTGCTGAATGCTATTTGTCTGTTTCTCCACAATAAAAACCACTAGACATGTCACATTTCTTTTTTCATTCTTGCCTTTAGAGTTTTCATCACTTCTGAGTTTTCGTTTGTTCCCTTCCCCACCATAACTCCTGCCTGGATAACTCCTGTGCTGGATTCTTCGTGTCCTTTCACAGGTTTTTCCCATGCTCTTTTCTTAGACCTCATCCCTGCAGAGCTGTTTTTTTATCATCACTTTCATGTTCTAATTCTTGATTACCCTCCCTTGCACATTCTCCTTTACTGTTAGGCATCCTGTGGAAACTTTACAGCTAATTAATCAGCTCAAAGCTTAGGTGGGGGACAGTACAGAGTGAGGATGCCTCATAGATGGGTTTGGTGACCGTGGAGAAGGTTGGAGCATTCCCCTGCTCTGTTGCTGCTACTAGCTGGGAAGCAGAGAGGATCTCCAGATCCTTTTCAGGGTCCTGACCCTGAATCTCTGTTCCACGGGGGCTGCTGGAAAGCAGTAGAGGGAAAAGAACAGTTCTGGCTCAGCTAGCACAGTGGCTGTGGGTTGAGTTGGTGTTGAAGACTTCATGATGATGTCTGGGAGGATGGGAACTCTGAAGATTATTTGTATTTTTCAATGCATGTAAATTAAATTTCTGGGGCGGCACCGGCTGGTAATGCGATAGCCATCACTGTCTGCAGAGAATCAAAGGAAAAAGAGGAAACAATTATTATTTCTTGATATGTTTGACACAAATTCAGATGTGAGTTTATCATTTAGAGCCAGCAAGATGAATTCCTTGAAGAAAGTCAAAGTCCCTGCACAAGGAAACGGTGTTTTGTGGCTTTGTTTATTTTCTGGCAATCCACACACAAAGCATCCAAGTTCAGCGATAATTTGTTTACCAGTGTAGCCATTCACAGGTGCCCTCTGCTCCTACATGGAGCTTCTGTAGAGCCACAGACAGCAGCACGCTCTCTCTCCTATTAGCTCATGATCTCATCACCTTTCCTTTTACGCCCTTCTTGCTTGCCAGCTGCTGTCGTGCACTTCTTTGGCTGGCAAGGAGGACAAGTGGTAGTTTCTAGAGCTGCTTCTCTTGTTGGTGGAGGAGTAACGCATAACGTTCTGGCTTTTCCTGACTCTGCTGTGGCTCATGCTCTCTGCCTAGTCTCTAGAAGCTTGTCAGATCCAACAATATCATAGTCACTATGACTTTTTAAAAATGTACAGTAAATGATCTACAAATAAAAATCCTCTTTGAATGAAGTTAAAATTTCAAGTAATGTATATTTTTATTTTTAAAGTCTCTATTGTAACATAGTGGTAGAGAGAAGTAAAGGGAACTTTCTTCCCGGCATTGAAGCAGGAGGACAGACATTTTGATCATGTCTGGTAGAGGTGCAGAGGACATTATTGCGGATATAAAAGGTTGCAGTCTCTTCTGCATCTCATCTTATTCAAGTGGTGTAGTCACAGAGCTAGGTTTTGGTGGTCGTTCATTTGTTCTTTTGCTTGCATGCAGGATGAGTAATTTTCATATTTGCCTTTTTAATTTTGCCAGGTGATCAGTCGTTCTCGCTACAAGGAAATTAAGTAAAAACACTCAATTCTTTTCAAATACATCATTTAGTTTCCAGTAGCCCTTCAGGATCGTTTACCATAGGATACCCGATTTTAACTTTCAGTATCCTTCTTGAGAGTCTTCATATCCAGTCAAGGGTGCAGAATACCATCAGCTGGAATGTAATAGTTCTCATATTGCTTGCATATCTGTGTTAATTCATTACAGAAGCTCATTTATTCTCAACCTCTGACTTAACTGACAGCTTAACTGAGCTGTTCCTATTAGTGCATAGATCACCCCACCTCCCTTGAGAAACTACATGTAATTTTGAGGTGGTTAATTTTTGCATGCCATGATGGATGTAGTCTTCTGTCTTTGCCTGTTTTGATCTAATTTCTCATGGTCTCTTTCTCAGAAAAGAAAAGCAAAAAAATCTCCAGACATCTTTAAACCATATGGATGGATTCTGAACCACTTGTGAATTCTTAGGAAAGAGCGACTATGCGGAAATTCAGTTTCATCAGCACAATGCTGAATAATAAACAGAAAGTGAGATGTCTCAGAATTAATAAAAGTCCAGGCAGTCATGTAGAAACTTGCTGATGTTATCAGGAATAAGTGGGCTTTTTCCCATGCTTCTAATAAATAACTCACCAGTCCATTTATAATTAACTGTATTTCTAAATGAGAATTGTCCAAATATTTTTACATCTGTTTTATCTATGGCAGGATAGTTTGGAACATAGCTGTTGATTATAAAGGGTTCTATGAAAAGCACATAAGAAGCTTAATTACTAGACCGGGGTTTTTGAACCTTTGTATCTTTGTGGATTCCTAAAAATATTCTAGCGAGTGGCACGGACCCTCTACAGTAATACCAGGCTTTCCTTGCTCATTTACCCTCTGCAGGCACAGTGGAGGAGTTCCTGGGGGTCTGGATATTTCCAGCTGGAAACTGCCGAACCAGACCGACAGTTCTCGCGTACATACAACCTTACCAGTTCATGAAATAAGTTAGAAATCAGTTTTGCCTTTGGCAAAATCGCGCAGTTTTTTCCGATTCAAATGTCAGTAATCCTTCAGAGGAGACTGACTTGCTGAGGCTGGGCGAGGATTGACCGCTCCCCAGAGAACGACTTGTACGTGTGCATGCACAGCAGGAAATGGTGTCTCTTTTTTAATAGGTTTTGTTGTTCCCGATGGTTTAAAGCCTGTCACAGTGCCCTAATGCCTGGAGTTGATGAGCACTTGGGGTTCTTGTCTTTGTGGCTAAGCTGTAAAACCTAGTTTTGACTATTTGTGCGTATTCAAAATTGTGTGCTCTTGGTATGAGCAGGTGTGCCCGACACCTGGTATCCTGGCTAAATTCCAGCGTAGATAATGCCTGAGCTTCCCTTGGCACTTTCATTTGGATACAGTTTTCCTTTCATGGCATATGCTTCTATCTGATAAAGCCTGAGAGATACCGCCAATGTGAATATTTTTCCATCACAAAAAATATATATAAAAAACACGTGTATCGCTTAGCTCGGAGCTTCTGCTGTGTTGTGATGATCTCACAATTCTTGCTTTCTGCTTTGAATTCTTTTTTTAGTGTTGTTCCCATCTCTGGCGCAACGTAACAAACACAAATGGAATGACTCTTAATCAAACTAGCACGGCACGAGGCTGTCAAATGTATAAAATAGACAATTCATCAGGATGTTTTTCCCTTTAGTGTTACTGAGGTTACTTTAGGTTCTTGAGCCCATTAGAAGCAGTAATAACTAGTTTTAAGAGCTGATTTTTAAAATGTCCTTTTTAAAAAAGCTCTCTGTCAAGGGTGTTCACGTTCTGTGGGAAGTTATCCTTGCATATACTGTGGTCTGCAAAGTACTCTGGTTGCTGCAAGTTGTTGGAGTGGAGGCAACTTGTTAAGAGCGTTGGTTTTGTTCCAGACAGTATACCTGGTCTTGTGCATGGTACATTGTAGGGATTATTCCCCATTAAA